GGCGTAAGACAATTACTTATATGAGTAATCTCCGCCATATTACCATAGCACGAGGAAAGCTCACTCTAGTAATTTAAAATTACGTCGTAGACAGGCGGAAGGATAGTCGAGATTTATAGTTATATGATTTGCAATGCTCCAAACATAGCGACAAAGTGGCGCTTGGAAGACGGCCGATAATGATAAGCCAGCAGATACCCTCATAAAACAGTCTACAGCAGTTCAACCCATACATTGAAGCCACTATTCGACCGTAGGGTCCATGGGCCAGTAATGCAATGCCTACCCCTTACATATATGAAGTGGGTGCGTATTGTAAAAGAAGGCTGTTTGCCGACGTGTGATTAGCTCTAAATGGCCGTGGCTAGCAATACGACAGGTACTGAGCCTCTGCCTATTACATATGTACACGCTGGGTCTGGAGATAAGCCATATATATCAGTAGGCTTGCTCTCAATTGGTTGGTTCAAACAGTGCGCCTGCTGTAAAATGTGTTGGGTTTCGTCTTCGAAAAAGTAATGCAAAGCAGCGATATCTAGGTGCTATTCAATGTAAAGGTCCAAAGAACTTTTCAGGTCCGCCGCGATTGCTTTCTAATAGATGGTCTATGCGCATGTAGCTATCGTATATGGACTGTGCATCACAGGTGTATTCACTTTCTAAAACACGAGCACATGCTTCCATGAAAAGTATTTGACACGAGCATCCTGCTCAAAGAGAGACTCATCGTCACCCATGTCGTTGCAAGCAGGCGCCGATCACTTCGTGCTATTGAAGTTGTCTCATTTGACAATTGTTTTCAATACTAGACAGTCAGCCTTCAAAAGTGCAAATATCTACTGAATTCATTTAAAAAGACAAAATTTCATCAAAATTAACTATTAAATTAATTTTATGAGCTACTTAGCGCTTATTTAAATCTATCCGGGTTCCGGCTTTAGATTAATTTCAAATACTTTCATCCTAAGTAACTTGTTAATGGGGTAGGTTAATGGGGTAAACGTTAGAGACGGAGAGAAATATATTTCTTTTTTACATTTTGGTCATACATTTGTTTGCTGCAGCGAGATTCATAAGCCCGTCAAAGACATTTATGAATTGAGATGTCCTAAATCGCAGCTTTTACAGGCTGCAACTAATAGCCTCAGGAGGCAACTCGTTTTTGCTTTTACACCACGACGAAGGTTCCTCAACTTTTTATTTAATGATTTGACATTAACAAACAATACTTAAAAGATAATTTATATCATTTAGGTAGTAATAGATGACATAATAGAAACAAAAAGTCATAATTTAATTCGTTGGCTGACGTTAAAATTGACTCACTCAGATTAGGTTCAAATCGTCATTATTGCTTACTAATCCAATAGAGATATTTTAAAAATATCTCTATTGGATGATCTGAGAGGGTATGGACAATACACAGTGCCATGAGGGCATACGCATCAAACAAAGTATAGCATGTATAATGTTGTATCACTGTGTTTTGTTTTATTTTGTGAACGTTTATTATTTCTATCGCACGTATCAAGCGTTCTGTGCTTGATTCTAAACAAAATCCTGTACGTTTAATGATGTTGTGAGGAAATGGCCATAGAATAGCCTTGTTACTATTTCAAATAGACCAAGTAAAATGAATATTTTCCAGGCAAATAAGGATTTTTTCAGTTACAAGTCGACTACCCCGGTTACAGCACACCTCTTCGATTGTAAATTATTCAAAGGAACGTAGCGTCTACAAATAGTTGTTGACAGTGGAGCGCGCAGTGTCGAGAATGACTTCTGCTATATTCGGAAAACTCGCCAGTCGACGGATCTTGCAGACTGAGCGACAGGCGGCGCGGGAGGGGGCGATACGACAATGGCTTATGATAAAATATACAACAACTATAAATAGCGGGAAGAAACGGGTTGAAACAGAAGTCTGACGATGAAGATTGACCGATCGGTTATCCAGAGGGAGCTCAGAAAAGCTCTCAGGTAATTAGAACCTTCGCAGGTCCATGGGTTAACGGCACGATAGCTACAGAGCAATAGTATGACAGGCAGACTAGACTGCCCATAGGATTAGCTCTTGGCCCACAGCAGATTGACCTTGCAAGTCGATGACATATCCTACATATGACTCAGGAACATCGTCAATAAACTTCAGCGACATGTCGACAAGTTTTGGTTGCAAACAGTTTCTCGAATATATCAACGCGGACTATGAATGTGGGGGAAAGATCGGCTGAAGGCCACCTTGAACATGGCAGGAAAGGCCAGTTTATACTACTACGGTCTCTCTAACTAAGTAACAAGGCAGTGTTTTTCAAATATATTACAATTGTTTAAATACATATTAATAGCTAGCTTCAGACACGTCTATGCTGAATTGTATCGGTGTACTGGAACTGCTCGCGTTTTCGATTGCAAGGATTTAATTAGCCCATCTCCGACCATTTTAATGTATATTAGCGTTAAAAATAGGCAGGCGAGTATATTATATAGTTCCAGAGTACATGGCTTACTTGCCAAAAGCAGACCTTCAATACCTCGAAATATAATTTGATAAGGCATAATAGACTACGACAAAGTTAAACATACGAATGCGACGCTGCTAAGGTTTTGTAGATACTTTATTCACCAGAAAAACGTTCTATTTGATTTTGTGCAAAGTAAGTAGTGCATTAGTACGAGAGCAATTACTGCATTGTGTTTGGATATATCTTCAGCATTAGTTAACGAAACAATTTTATAGATCTTAGTAAGATCCTAGTAATAATAGTGTCTACGTTCTCTACAGGAAATGGTGAGAGTTGTTGTTGGGCGGTTTGCGGCGCAACAAAGGAAACGTCCGACCGAGACGTCAGAACGTAGAGTTGTAAAAGGAAATCAACTGTAATATATTTCCACTGGGTGAAACAAGCGTTTTATCATCACTTTCATTCTCAATGCCTCGTTTCAAGCTCCCAGCTGCAAAAGCTCTCAAGATGAACTTTAGACATTGGGAACAAATATTAAGGAGACTGATGGGGTTTGGGTGCGATGAGGAACAATGAACGGAAAGGGACGAGCCGATTGGAGAGATTTGTCGTCACGCGTTTTGCTGTATATGGGTTCCACCATAGATTCTGAGCAGGAAAGCAGGTTTGCACAAGCTTAGCGATACATATAGATGCTTCATGCTGTGAGCGGAAATCACTATTGCTCGTTTTTCCTACATGCCGTCTTTAAGTCCTCTGACAAATATGTCAAACTAGTTTTATAAACTCAACAAAATTCGTATAACCGATATGGCGGAAAGTGTGTTAAATGATTAAATGAAGATTCTTCCTGACATCAGTATATTATGTTGTTGACCAGCATTTATGAAGTTCTTGAACAGCCAGGGCGAGTAAATAAAGTCTGATATATTTTTAGTTGTTTCATTGTAGCATTGACGTTTTGCCAATCAGTGTAACTTATTTCGAAGTTGGTCAACGAGCTGGTCATCAAGAGTAGTACCCATAGTATACTATAAGAATATACTCGTAAGGCTAGATTTTGTGTTGTTTGAGGACAACTCCGAAAAGAAAAAAATAAAAGTTTTACGTTGCATGCATGGTATTTAAGTTGATAAGCGACCGGAGTGTTTAGTGAAAGATTTCTAGGAAATTGACTTTTTTTATTTAATTGTATAGTGTGTCAAATTCACTCTCTTGTCTTTAAATCGTTCCCTATTATGTTCATTTAGCAACTCAAAAAAGGTGATCAACCTTACTAGTTATATTATTATTGGTCTTGGAGAATTTGTCTTGGAGAGGGGGTATATTCAACAACTTCGCCAAAGCGGTTTAGTCCCGTAAACAAAAGGGTGTCATGCAGTGCAACAGCATCGTTGTATTTTCGACTCGGGGATTGGAATACAGCATCAAACCAATTCGCGTTAAGCGATTCCGGATTAAAATATTAACGCTATGCCGTGTTCTGAAACGAGCAAACAATTGCCCCTTTAATTAGGTACGTACCTAGCTCCAGTGTCCTTGCGACTCCCGAAATGGAGAGAATCTTACAATTTGATCTCTAGAAAATAGAGGTGCGGCAGTTGCCGTATGCTGGAGTTGCAAAGTATTGGTGGAACCCTTTACTAGAAGATTGCGTTTTGAATTATGACAAACGAATGTAATCGATCGACCATTAACCCCGGACCATGTTAAACTACCAATAGCTTATGAGACTCTCCTGGGTCTCGATGTTAGAATTCATTAATGGGATATAGCCATTAGCTGTAATGGAAATAGACGACTAAGAACGACTAAGTTTTTGCCGGAGAATGCGCACAAAAAGCTGTCGCATTAGCTTCATACAAAACATATACTAAGCATCACTTTTACACACAAGAAATGTTTATACTATTAAATTTTTATCTGTTTATTGCACGCTTTTATTTGTTGAAGATCAATGTTTGTTGAAATCTGTGCAGATATTTCGTTTTTTCTGCCATCAGTTCAGTACGTGGGAAATATTGGGTAACCTCCCATACTTTACATCGTTTAGGAGATGCATAATTTGGGTCCGCAAATGAGAGATTGCTTTAGCCGCGAGACATTTTTCAAAGTATTGATAAGAGTTTGAATTGTTTAGCCTTATTGGCTTCATTTTATTTGTAATTTGTTTGTATTTGGAAGCCGGCCTTTAAAAAAGCTTATACATATTACGTAAAATATAGCTCGATAACGCTTAAAAATCAGAATTTATAAAATAAGGCGAATTCATCACATTGGAGAATGACAATGATGAGCAGAACTGTTTGGCAAATTCTGCCTATACTTGTGACGATGACTGTCGTGCAAAATATTAGTCTGTGCGTTCATTTTTCTTTTTCTCTGAAGGGCACAATACTGGAAAGTATTACAGAAAATAACACACGCAACAATATTTGGTAAAGGAATGTTATTTCGTGTTTTTTTGAATACGTTTCCATACGACCAGTAGCCCATACGATGCCCATTTTTATTAAACTATTTTTTAATCCTTACCGTCCCAACGCTCGGTTGGCATTCCATGACGATGCCGAACTACCCCTATCCTTAGATTACTTGCCGCTTTGTTGTTACGGGTAGAGGACGTTGAACAGGCACATCCGTCTACTGAGCAGATAGAATCCTGAAAAAAACCATATTTCCGCTCAAGCATGCACCGCACTCCTTAGTTTCGACTTGATCCAGAATAACCACAGGGCACCCCAACGCACTTTTCATCTGTGACGACTTTCGTAAACTGAAACGAGACTTTCTGACTGAATTCAGAGCAAATGACGATTCTCTGAATCAAACTGGTGATTTTTACCGGCTGTACTTTTTTCCTCACGACGCACAATAACCGTTTTGTCGTACATTTATTCGTCCTTAGTTCTCCATATAAATTCTCATATAAGCTTACGGCAATTAGTGCCTGTCGATACTTCACACTCTTTAGAGATGACAAGCATAAAAGTTTCTTACTTTATTATATTTTTTCTTGATATCCTACTTCAAGATCACCGCTGATGGTTTCCTTTGATCATCGAATCAAGTATACCGAGTCAGTCTAAAGGGCGCAGCCTCAAAACGAGATAGCGATCCTCAACGTTACCGGAAGCAGCACTATCGCCTGCTGTAGATTTTGTATCGGCGGTACATAATCACCAGCTTGAATCACTAGTTCGAACGGCGTTTCGTGTTTGATAATCCGCTATGTCTATTTGCCCCAAAAAAGGTCCAACGGAGGCATTTGTTGGCAACGGCGGGGCAATAAGCAAGTAATTGCCTGGTTTCTTGTTTGACTATTTAGCGGTTCAGTAGCTTGATATGCGGTATGTACACAGCGGGTCGTTGCTGGTGAGGAGGCAAATGCGAGCGATTTGCTATCGGTCTGCTACCGAAAGCTGTCCTTGGCGAGGGTGACGCCCGAAGCTGAGTTGCTCTTCAGGACAGTACACAGCGAACGTAGTACACGGGACCGGCGGGTAGCAAAGAACACAACGGAGGTGTCCTTACCCCATGTAACCGACGCACACTCCAGCTTTACGATAAGGAGACTCCTAGCTATATTACTAGCAGAGGAGGATTTTCAGTAGGACTACCAGACATTATATGACTACACCATTGATACGATGAGTTGAAGACAATTTTGTTACAGTATAAATGATGTCGATGAAAATGACGCTGGCAATGGGGTGGTGAGGGAGTTTCTGGAGGAGAGGACTATAGGTTGTACATGACGTAATCGAGGCCAGCATTCGAGTAGTATCACTTGCATAAACATAGCATGAAACGTAATGGAGGATATGTGCCTACGTAGGTGAAATGGTTGGAGAAAAGGAGACACACCTTAGGTGCTTTCTTTTATTGTACAAGCAGACAGGTAACGTGTTACTATGGGGTTCATTTTTTTGTCCATGACGTGAAATGTCGTATGACAAAGACCAGTCTCAGGTCAACCCAGATTGTGGATGTAAGTCACCAGGTGTTGCTGGCAGTTATTTCTTGTGCTGCTCATTCGGTGCCCGAATTTTTTAATAAATTCAAGTTGTATTTTTGTTATGTTCCGGTGTTGTCTTGTATAACCTGCGCAGTTTATTGATACGGTGGTGGCATGGGCTAAGCGGCAAACAGCGATCGGCACATGCCTGATGAACTACAACACCGGAAATCACTACGGTCTTTTTGCATTGTCTAGCCTTCACGAACCTAGCACAGCTTAGATATATACAGCGAACATGTCCACTCTACAGTATAATAATAATTTTTCAAGCAGAGACCCGCACAAATTTACGTATGGCCAACCAAATGTAAGACTTCTAATTCTAACCTGGTTACTCTAACCCGTGGGCACTTGAACATGTGCAAGGATATGTGTACTTATGAACAAAGCGTCGTGAACAAAAAAAGGGCTGATTTAACGAGGTACATGGTGTTAACCCAAAGCGTTTAAAACCTTGCGCTTGAACCAGGGCTAACGTATTCCCGTTATACCTTTACTTAAACACGGGCGGCAAGTTTATTCGAAATGAAACCTTTTTACTACCTTATACACACAGTCAACCGTGTTACAGCTTCGCACTGAAGAGCGTAGATCGAAGTGTTACAGCGTCTGACTACAGTTTGTTTTCGGTAAATAGGAATGGGGGGCTACTCGAAGAGGGAAATCCAATTATTTCTGTACGTTAACCAACCAATTATACCGTGGAATCCAAGTTTTGGATTGGGTAAGCCTGACTGTACTGTAAGATAAAGATAGGCCTTCAGACTAAAGAGTATGTTTACCGTTAAAACAATGCTATTTAAACTGTAGACCTCAATTTCAATGCTCTGCAGTAGACTCTTGCAAAGAAATAAACCTTTTTGTTTTTATTTATAAAAGCCGAACCTGTAGTAGTTTTAAAAGTAAATAAAGCAAAAATTATAATAGGTGAACTTCAATAAATATTAGATCAAACTTTTCTGCGGTTCTTTGCTTCTTTCTCTCGACCAGCATTTGCAAATTTGTACCGTAAGGTTGAGGAAACCAATGTTCCTTGAAAATCCTAGGAACTTTTATTTACTATCTACCAGAATTTGTGAATTCCTATCATGTACTGGTGGCATATCATACATATCACAGGCGGCTCTGTTGAATTTCAACAAAAGCTAATCGCCAATAATGGGCCAATGCCCAAAGCAAAAAGAAGGTTAGTGCTTAGTAAAAATCTTAATTACTTTAATTGTACAGGAGTTCATATTAGAATAACTTTCTTGACCCACAAAAAAAACTAGTATTTATGTGTCATCGGCCCCCAGTGCGCTCGTGCAAACCAATTGTAATGCTCATGCTAAATATTCGAATAATAAATAACCGACAGACGATAATGTATTAGGTGTGAAAATAATTTCTAAACAAATGCTAGTTTGAATAAGTCGACTGAATGTCGATGAATGCGATACGTGAAGAATTTCCCAACCTGATCGAAAGATGATAATTCATGTCCTGTATAAAGCTGTGAAGCATTGTCATGCAACAGAATTCGTTTGCGACAACTAAACGGTCTTCTACTTGAATGAAATCTGGTTTAATCAAATGACGTTTCTAATATTTAAAATTCACAGTCTAAAGTAAACCTTTATAAATATGCAGAAGCTTAATTTCATTCATTTGATAAAGTATCTTTCTTTGCGCAAAACCCAGTTTGTTGTCCGGGAAGTTCGCGTCTGGGCTCGGGATAGAAGATCCAATTTTTATCGACGACGTGATGCAAGCGATGAAGCTTCGTTTCCTAGCCGACTACTGAGACTACTGCTACGCAGTATCGTGCCTGTTGCTACTATATATTCAATCTACTGCCAAGCGACATTTCTGCCTTCGGTACCGTTCTCATTTGACGATTTGAAGCTTCTCGTAAGTTACTGCCAGTTGCTCAGAAAAATTCTTTTGATACCTGAGACTTTTGTTGAGCTGAAGCGTATTTTTATCCAACAATCCTCGAAATAAATTACCCAGAAATGTCCCTGAGGCTGCGATACTATACTATTACGAACCGATAAATTGTGCTCATATAAGTAAATTCTGTAAGAAACAAGTGGCCATTAAATTAACCTTACGAATAAGAAATGCAGTAATGGAGATTTGCTATAAATAAATCAGCGATAACGCATTGAGCGAATTAGACTTCGTTCTTATCGCGGGAAGAATATCACGTTCTGATTGGGATAGATCTCTTCTCGCAACAAAAATTTTACTACTTAGGCTTACCAAAAAAGGACTGTAATAACAAAAAATATATACATTGATTAAGGTAATACATTAGATAAATTAACAAGCACAGGAGGACTCAAATTTGGTAATTTTCCATCTCGTGATAAGCATTCACGTCTTTTTTGTTTTTGAGAAAAACCACTGGAAAAAGTACGGAAGCCTAACCGCAATTTTGTACTATAATACTGTTTTTTTAACTATACGACCTTTGCCTTTGACATGTTACCTTTGACATTGTTGCCGCTTCAGTTTCGTACTAAGAAGATAATGCTTTTTAGAAAAATAAACGTTTTCAAACGCGGAAAGTCTTCGGCGCTCTTCGTCGAAGCCAAAGGACATAGTGACATGATCTCCTGTGTCGAGGGACCAACAAAGACGTCGATGAACGAGAGTTCATTACGTTGTGAAATATTTTCAGTTAATAACTTATAGAAGCTGTTTGCGGTTTCATGCTCATAAAAAAACAAACGTGCTGACTGCTCTGCCATAAGACTGAGAAACACTCAGTTGAAGAATATTTTTGTCTTATCAATTTTTACATATGATTAGACTCTACTGTAAAATTGTCGTCATCGTTTTGGCTTAGAATTAAACTGAATAAGACTATGGGCCACAGAGTAAATTTGTGATGCGTTAGTTTAAATGAACTGAGTGATTTTCACTTTATATTATCCCTGAGAGAGGCTCGAGCGACAGATGAAGACAAGTCGTAAAAACACTGGTCTGTCTATAACGCTTGTGCTTCCGGCGCCTATAACGTTCGTAAAAGAAAGGTCTAAAAAATTAAACGCAGGACACATTTGTTTTTAGGAGAACAAGAGTTAGGAAACAAAGATCTGAAATTTACAATTTACACATCTTCGAGTAGCTTATATTTTCCTGTCTGCTTAGCTTGGGTAAAAATGAACCCCACCGGTATGCATAGAGCCATTAAACGTCGGCGGGGCAGAGCTTCTATGATATGGTTTTTCGAACCTGTTCCACTTCCTTCGAAGTTCAGCCGAAGACGAACTTGACGGGCAAACAGACAGACCCAACCGTACGCAAATCTGAGCTTGGACGCTATGAGAAACGAGCGATGGTTTGTGCTTTTTACCGGCTGTTCGGTCAGCTAAGCAAACATCTAACTTTATTAATTGAGCTAAAAAAGTCTTCTTACGTTAGAAAAGATAATTTGACAGTCGCCAACTAAACGTGGTTTACGAATTTGACGGGTTGTATTGCTCGGGCTATTGTACTAGTGTGTACCCAAATAATGAACGTGTTAACTGTAAGTAACAGGATAACTGTGCTCGCAGACTTAATGAAACCTCGGGTGAAATCTACCTAGTTATATTATAACTATCGGGCCGAATAGTTCTCGCCACTCAGTCTATCTGAAGATAAAAATGGCATGCGGTAAATGACGCAGACGTCTATGACCGCCGAAAGGGGTTACTTAGGGTACAATATGCGGTGATCGTCAGCCATTTGAAGTAATGCCTAACAGCTTAACACATGCAAGGCGTAGAAGACAAAAATGTTTTTTAGGATGTAATACGAATCACATCGAATGGGCACTACTGGTCTTCAAGAGAGCCTTTTTGTACACTGAACTATGAGAACGAGTCTTCACTAGCATGAAGTGTTTTATATTTATTTTTATTTAGCATGTTCGAATGAAGCATGAATTAAAAAAAAAAAGAAAATTATTTTACCATTTTCAAGACTACCCGAACGCAACTGCGTTCCGTAACTTGAAGCTAGTTTTTATAATATATGATGCTCTATTTATATGATGGAACATACTCTGAAGTTTTCTTCAGTATTTTACTTAAAACGCCACATTAAGCTTACTATTACGCTTCGACCTTGACCTGCTTGTTATTAAGTATTATTAATAAATAGCAAATAGCATCTATACTTGAACGCTAAAAATGATTAAATCAAATGAGAAGAGCTTATTCGACTATTAATCTGAGTCATTGCGATTGCGGTCGCCGTAATAAAAAGCAAATAGGCTCACAATATAGTGGTTCCAGCGCTCACGCTAACAGTTTCTAGCGATCCAAATAAATATGTCGGATTTTATGTTCAGTACTCTCGTTGAGCGTAACTTCAGATGGCACCATTTACGTATTTCTACGTTTTTTCCACCATTACGTATTTCTTGCAGGTTTTGAACCTACACTTTCGTGCTAACTCTATGATGCAAATTACGGCACAATCACGGCTTGTTTCTACGCTACTGGCCTTTGGCCTCGTAGCC